AGAGGGGTACTACATAGAGCCACCAGTGTGTTATTACTTAACCGCATTGACTTACTTAACCATATTGTTTACCTCCTGGAGGGCCTGTGCTATTTGTTGTAGCATAACAGTGCTCAAACTTTTTGGTCTCAGGACTCCTTTACATTCTTAAAAATGAAGACGCAGCTGGGCACAGTGGCAGGCACCTATGGTCCTAACTACTCAGGAAGCTAAGGCGGGAGGATCACTTGAGCCCAGGAGTTGGAGGCCAGTCTGGACAACATAGCAAGACCCCATCTCTTTAAAAAAAAAAAAGGACCCACAAAGCTTTTTGGTTTGTGGGGTGTATCAATATTATATTAAAAATTAAACTGAAAATTTGTAAAATTATTTAAGAATGACATAATTACATGTTAACAGTAACATTTTTATTGAAAAATAAGTTTTCAAAAAAATTAGTGAGAAGACTGAAACTTGACGCGGTTTTCCATTTTTTGCCAATTTCTTTTCTTTTTTTTGAGCTGGAGTCTGTTGGTCAAGCTGTAATGCAGTGGCACGATCTTGCCACTGCACTGTAGCATGAAGGACAGAGTGAGACTCCATCCTCCCAGGTTCAAGTGATTCTCATGCCTCAGCCTCCCGAATAGCTGGGATTACAGGTGCCTGCCACCATGCCCGGCTAGTTTTTGTATTTTCAGTAGAGATAGGGTTGCCTCTTGGCCAGGCTGATCTCAAACTCCTGGCCTCATGTGATCCACCCGCCTTGGCCTCCCAAAGTGCTGGGATTACAGCCGTGAACCACCGTGCCTGGCCTGCAAATTTCATTTTTCTTTTTTTTTGTTTTGAGGCAGAGTCTTGCTCTGTCACCCAGGCTGGAGTACAGTAGCGCAATCTTGGCTCACTGCAATCTCCACCTCCCAGGTTTAAGCGATTCTGCTGCCTCAGCCTCCTGAGTAGCTGGGATTACAGGCGTGCACTACCAAGCCCAGATAATTTTTGTATTTTTAGTAAAGAAAGGGTTTCACCATGTTAGTGAGGCTGGTCTGGAACTCTTGACCTTAGGTGATCCACCCACCCCTGCCTCCTAAAGTGCTGGGATTATAGGCGTGAGCCACTCTGCCCTGTGGCAAATTTCTTTAGTGTCTGTTTCAATAGAAGACAGGCTGGATTCTCATATCTGGTTCTACATTTAGTCTGTTAGGATGTGTTCTTTTGGTGAATGCATATGGAGAAAAACTGCTTTCACCACAGATAATGTAGTTGGAAAAGGGAAGAGTATGTTTAATGCTTTTTCAGATAAATCTGAACATTCTTCGATACTACACCAAAACTTGACAAGTGTTACTTTCTTCAAGGTTATTAGTGTGATGTGGAATCTGAAGCCATGTCTGTGACTTTTTGAACATTGTTTCACTAAAACACATCAGTCTCTCCTGTACTTTGAATGGATTTTGTGATATCATGCATGGATTGTTTGGAAACCATTTGCTGAGTGTTGCAGAGCTTCCAAATGTTGGCATATTGCATCGTACACTTGCAAAAACATCACATTCATTTCTTTTCCTGCTGATCTCATTGGAAAAGTCTGTAAGTATTTGCAGAACCATGAAGCTGTGGTTGGCAGATAAGTTTTCCACAATTATAATTTTTGCCTGAAAGCTTGTATTTTATCATTGATAATAACTACTGTAAATTGTTTTTCTCTAGAGTCAAAGCTGGGTTTGAGCCCTGGCACTCTTGTTTAATATGCTGGCCGTGGGACCCAGGTGAGGCCACTTAGCGCCTTTCTAAGCCCTTATCTTTTTTTTTTTTTTTTTTAAAGAGACTGGGTCTTGCTCTGTCACCCAGGCTGGAGTTCAGTGGCGCTATCATAGCTCTCTCTCTGCAGCCTCCATCTCCCAGGCCCAAGCAGTCCTTCCAGCTCAATTTCAGCCTCTCAAGTAACTGGGACTACAGTCTCTCCTGTACTTTGAATGGATTTTGTGATATCATGCATGGACTGTTTGGAAACCATTTGCTGAGTGTTGCAGAGCTTCCAAATGTTGGCATATTGCATCGTACACTTGCAAAAACATCACATTCATTTCTTTTCCTGCTGATCTCATCGGAAAAGTCTATAAGTATAGGCCACCATGCCCAGCTGATTTTTTTGTGGTAGAGATGAGGTCTTGCTTTGTCGCCCAGGTTGGTCTTGAACTGAAGTGATCCTCCCGCCTTGGCCTCCCAAAGTGTTGGTATTAACAGGTGTGAGCCACTGTGCCTGGCAGCCCTTACCTTTTTATCTTGAAAAAGGAGACATGTGCTGCTTTGATGGATTGTTGTGAGTCGTAAATGGGAGAACTAAGGATAATTTGCCTTCTATGGTACCTATTACACAGGAGACATGCGTAAAGGTTCTTTTCCTTTCTTTCCTTCTTGGGCCATCATGAAAGTATTGGGGATGAAGAAGCTGAGGGATGGTGGAGAAATGGAAAGGAAAGGCCTGTTTTCCCTTGGGGCATTCTTAGAACCCAGGCAGAGCTCTGGACACAGTGCCCTTGGCTGTACTTTTTTACTCCCACTGCCTCTAGGAAGGTGATGAATGGGAAGGGGCAGGCAGAGCTTCCTGGGGCTGTTTTTTGGGGTTGTGTTCTGTTCTCTGGATCCATTGGTTTTTTAAAATTTTGTCTAAATAGCTTCTCTAAAAATTAGCATTTTCCTTAGATTGCTGTCATGTGAGCATCAGGGCTCTTTACAAATAAACCTTGTTCCTCCTCAGAGCTCTCCAGAGTGTTAGACTTGGGAATGGTGCAATAGCTGTTCACAGCTGGGAGAACAGAGGCTCAAGGGGAGACAGTGTTTACTACTAGATCTGTGCCCTGCCAAAAATCTAAGAGTAGTTCAGGTCAAAGTTCTTTTATTTCCTAAACTGAAAAATACCAGAGCATGATTTTGTCACAGCCAAGCAAGACCTGAAATTCTTAAAACTGAATTTACTTTAATTTTAGAAAGGGAATGTTAATCTAACAGTGTGTCCCAGCTCCAAAGAAGGTTGACAGTCCTTGTCCAGGAAAGTTCACAGTGCGTGTGAAGACACTGGCTCTTTACTTTATAATGTGTGTCTTCCTTATTGCAGTCTTGGGGGCAGAAAAAACAAAACAAAACAAAACACATTGGGAATTTAGCTTTCAGAAAAAGCATTGACCTTCCAGTCTGGTCATTTGTCCCTGAGGTTAAGTGTCAAGCCCAGGTAGGTAAATGTTCCAGGTCTGTCTATAGAAAAGTTCAGCTCTTGCCAGTTCAGTGATGCCAGAGAAAGAGTTATGTTGATAAAAGGTTTACTTTCTGACAGTTATTGAATTTTGTCCTGAAGAAGTCTCCCAGCAAGGCTTCCTGTAGCTCAGGGCACTCAGGTAGGTCTTGTGGGGAGTGAAGCTGTCTGGGTGACTAGGGACACCAGTGCATTTAAGTCCGGTGCATGGTTAGGTTTCAATGGACTTTCTCTGTTCCCGTGATGGAAAGTGCCACTGCATCCCTGAGAGATGGATCGGGGAAGTTGGTATTTCTGTCCTGTTTTGTGACTCGTTCCATTAGCTTTGTCATGGGGCTTGGGTGCCAGATATAAATCTAGCTCGTGTTGGAGTGACTAGTGTGGCGAAAGGGGTGTAGACTGCACTTGGAGTCAAGTCTTGGCTCTCTGTCCCAGTGTTGCCGCTTCCTGATATTGTGACTTTGAGGGAGCCACTTCACTTTGTGGAATCCCAGATTCTTCATTTGTAGACCAGGGCTATCCTGCTCTCTATCTGCTGCTGACTGTGGTTGATTGTGTGACTCTAGAGGAAGCACCTGGGAGGTTCTAAGTTGGGGTTTCAAGGCGAGAGAATGCTGATGAGGGCCCAGCAGAAAGGTAGTAGAAGCCCTGCTGGTGAGAAGCGTAAGGCTTGTACTGTCACAGGACAAGGCACCAGTCCTTTGTGGTGGCTGTGAGCTTAGGTCTCCACACCAGTTGACTGGATTTGAGTCTGCACTCCACCAAGGTGTAACCTTGGGCACATTCACCTCTCCATGTTCATTCCTTTCATTTGAAAAGTAGACACTGGAATAGCCCCTCTCCACCCACAATAGTACCCACTTTTTAAGGATTAAATGAGATAATGGTAGACGTAAGGGACAGAGCCCAGTTTCTGGCACATGGAAACAGTCCATGCCCATTGTTGTGGTCAAGGCCACAGTAGGCTTTCCCTGCATGTGAAGTTGTTTCAGGGAACTTAACTAGATGTGTGGATTAGCCAAAACCTTGTAGCAAAGTAATGTATTCTAAAGCAGCCATCATTTGATAGGAGTAGGCCCAGCTGTACTCTAGGAAGTAGGTTGAAGGGAGCCAGTTGGGGTAGGAAGGCATCTTCCTCCATGCAGTGGGTGTGACTCATCCACAGGATCCTCTATGTGAGATTTCTCTAGGTTCTTAGGGAAATAAAAGGGAGGTGTAAGCTGATACTGTTTTCCCTGCTGTGTGAGTGTCCTGCTTGTAAAAATTTTCTAGTATTGTATTGGCAAAATTGTATTTCAAGGATTACCTTGATTAGCCATATGAGAAATGGGTTGGAGAGAAGCTAAAACAGCTCCTTAAATGTTCTTAAACATTTTAGATTATTCCGTTTAATTCCTGAAAAGATCATTTGGATATGTTTTCTTGAGCAAAACAGGCAGATGGTGTTGCTACCCAGTTTCCCGATTCTGTAAGGCCTATAGCAGACATGTATGGTAGGCTTGCAGTAGTGAAAGATCCTTGGACTAGGAATCAGAAGACTGGGTCCTCGGCCTTATTCCCAGCTCTGTCATGCCCTGATTTTGTGGCTCTTAGGTTGGTGACCTGCAAAATGGAGATGTTAGTCACCCTTGCTTACTCCACCAGGGGCGTCCATCCTAAGAGATAAGAGAATGCCGGTAAATTGCTTTACAACCAAAGTACAAATATTAGCATAATAAATGGCACTGACAACCAAGCTCTGACCCTCCTAATGAAATATTTTCTTTCTCAGTGATGTTACAGCCTTTCGATTATGATCCCAATGAGAAAAGTAAACACAAGTTTATGGTTCAGTCTATGTTTGCTCCAACTGACACTTCAGATATGGAAGCAGTAGTAAGTACTGAATGCTTCTTATTTTTTTCAGTAATAATAATTTAAAAAACCAATTAGATACGGAATTGTGGGTGCATGCATTGCAAAATATGTCAAAATTGTTTAAAAGGGAATAGTTTTTTTTCAAGAAGGTTTGTACTTTAACTACCTTTGTGGTTTTTCTAAAACTTTGAGGAATAATTTTAACATTTTATGTGACTTCCTAGAAGGCTGTTCTTTTCTGACCTTTCTGAGCTCAGTGTGCTTCAGCAGCTCCTTGCACTGGTGGCTGGTGTCTTGAATGGTTAGGGATTGCCTCCTTTCGCCTCTCCTTTCTGCCCCGACAGAAAAGGATACTTTTCATTGTCCTGCCTTTTCTTACGGTGTCTTCTCATCCCCCACAAACTCAAGAGCCATGTGAGAATGTCAGTGCTGAATGTCCTCACCCATTTAGACATACGTGTGTGTGGCTTTGTTCTAGTAAATATGATTATTTTCCCCCTGCTTAAAATATATGTTTAACTTTTCTCTAATTTTGATAAAATTAAGATGACTTCATTTTTATAAAAGAAATAAATGATATTAGTGATGGTTTTGGGAAAAAAAAAAGAGTATAATGGACATTCCCCCCAAAATGAGCTTTTTATACATTGGAATAAGTCCATAGGCATTCTGGGGCTGGGAGTTGAATTGAAATGTACAGTACAACCCACAGCCCCAGCAGGGACAGATGCGTTTGTCCTTACAGTTCGGGAAAGCAGGACAGGGTTGCCTCATACCACTCGTATTGCTCTCCAGTTTTGGCCAGCCCAAAGTGGGGCCCCGAGTCATTCATGGCAGGCCTGCCCACCTGAGTCTGCTGTTCCTCATACCATACTGCAATTCTCCTCTGAGTTTCATACCAAAGGCAACTCAGGCCAAGCCCACCCCATGCCCTATTTCGCCACATAGTCTTTTGTTTTAGTTCTGGAAAAGCATCTCCACTGGTGTTTCACTTGTAGGCAGAAAATGAAGGGGGAGGCCAGATATTTTTGAGTTTTAGAGGGATTAGTGATAATAGGCTGTCTTCTTTTCATGAGAACAATTCTTATGAAAAGCTTCTCTTTGATTTTCTGCAACATGATGTGTTAACTTCATGTTAATTTGTGTGATCAAAGAAACATGGCAGATAGAAAATAATGGAAGATCCAAGGGTGTGTTCTGTTTGGCTTTTGCTGCATGGCATAGTGGAAAGAGCATGGGCTTGGGTGTCTTTGAGCTGAGTTCTTCCTTTTACTAACATTGTGGCTGGGAGCAGATTTTATTAAATCTGTTGCGGTTTTGATCATTTGTGAAATAGGGATAAAAATGCAGCTCTCATGATGGTGAGTATGAAGTGAGCCTTGTGTAAGTGCCTCGTCGGTCTAGAGTCTGACACTTGCTTATCAGAGTGTGTAGTAGGCCAGGCACTGCATATCCAGTAAAGAGTCATTTTAGTTCCTTGTATGATTATTTTTATAACAGTTTACTTTTTTTTTTTTTTTTAAATAAAATGTACATTGTGGGAAATTTCGGAAATACACAAATGAAAAAAATTTAAAGTGACCCATAGTTCTTTTCTACTAGGTCTAACCATCATTAATAAGAGCTTTGTGTTTTTCTTCCTTTTTTTTTTTTTTTTTTTTTTTTTAGTGGGGGGGCATTTTTTCCCCGTGTCACCCAGGCTAGAATGCAGTGGAGTGATCTCAGCTCACTGCAGCCTCCACCTCCTGGGCTCAAGTGATCCTCCCACCTCAGCCTCCCAAGTAGCTGGGACCATAGCAGTGCACCACCATACCTGGCTAATTTTTTGTAGAGACAGGTTTTCTCCATGTTGCCCAGGCTGGTCTCAAACTCCTGGACTCAAGTGATCTGCCTACCTGAGCCTCCCAAAGTGTTAGGATTACAGGCATGAGCCACTGCCCCAGCCTGCTTTTTCTTTATTTTAAAATGTTTTTCTTTTTATCGTAAGATACAGAAAGTTGAAAAAATAGCATGGTGACCACTCATATAACTTTTACCTAGATTTACCATTTGTTAACATGTTGTCACATTTGCTTCCTTTCTGTCACAAACTTTCTTATTTGCTTAAGATGCAGATTGTATGACACTTCACCCCTAAATGCTTCAGAGCAAGGACAGTCTCTTATATTGCCATGATACTATTAATCATAGCTGAAAAAATTAACTTTTAATTCAGTATTATTATATGATAAATTAATATTCATTATTTCCTAGTTGTTCCAAAAGTGGCCTTTAGTAGAGGACACCCAAACCTTTTTGTTTTTCAAACTTTGAACTTTTTTTTTTTTTTTGGAGACAAAGTCTTGCTCTGTCACCAAGGCTGAAGTGCAGTGGTGCAGTCAGTAACTAGAACTACAGGCATGCCACCACGCCAGCTAATTTTTTATTTTTTTTGTAGAGTTGGGGTCTCACTCTGTTGCCCAAGCTGGTCATGAACTTCTGGGCTCAAGCGATCCTCCTGCCTCTGCCTCCCAAAGTGCTGGGATTACAGGTGTGAGCCACTGCACCCAGCCCAAACTTTGAACTTTTTTTTTTTTTTTTTTTTTTTTTTTAGTGTCCAGGCCAGTTGACTTACAGAATGTCCCATATTGTGGATTTGTTCGATTATTTCTTCATGATTAAATTCAAGTTAAATGTGTTTTGGCAAGAATATTCCAGAGTCGGTATTTCATACCAGGTTGTCCTCCTGTTGGTGATGCTGTTTGATCACTTGGTTAAGACGGTGACTGCCAGCTCTCCCCAGTGTCAGAGCACAAAGCACATTTGCCCCTGTGGTTAATAGGTAATCTGTGATACTCTGAGTCATCTGATACTTTGAGACCATGTGAATATCCTGCTTGCCAGCAGTCTCACCTGGTGGTTTTAGCATTCAGTGATGATCCTTGCCTGATCTTTTTTTGACTCATGTGGTAGGCACACGTGTACAGATGTGTGTGTGCAGAGGAGCAGACTTAAGTATTCTTTATGGTTTCTTCACTTAATATCTGGACATTTCCTCCATCTAACTGAATGCTCTTCAGCATCATTTGAGTGGCAGCATGCTATTCCATTTAGTGGATCTGTCATAATTTTTGTGGCAGTTCCCTAGTGTCCCACTTTTTGGTTCCCACTTTTGATTCTTGGTACCTGTGTTACACTAGCTGCCTCTTGCATGGTTTTGGGAAGGGTTGGAGGCACGGAGGGTGGGGGATGCCTTCTTTTTCTATATCGTAACCTTGCTGCTATCCTGGTCTATGATCCTAGAATACCCTGTAATTCCCATCCTCTGCTGCCAAAAGGAGAAGTTATCAGGAGCATATCCTCTTAGGACATGGGATTTAGCTGGGAAGGTGCTGTCACTACAGCCTGGAGGGATGGAGATGGGTCTTGGGGTAGAGATAGCCCAGACACTGCCACAGTGACAGAGGAGGGATTTGGTAATGAATGTGTTCCGTTGGTAGTTGGCAGAGTGGTTCTAAAACTACTCCCAGATAATATGCGCTTACACTTTCTAGATATGCCTTTAAAGTAAGTTTCATTTTCTCATTTTAATTTATTATTTTTGAGACAGAGTCTCTCAGTGTCCCCCAGGCTGGAGTACAGTGGTGCTATCATGGCTCATTGCAGCCTCCCTCCTGGGCCCAAGTGATCCTCCCACCTCAGCCTCCTGAGTAGCTGGGACCACAGGCATGTGCCACCATGCTCAGTTAATTTTTAAATTTTTTTTGTAGAGATGATGTCTCCTTACGTTTTCCAGACTGGTCTCTAACTGCTGGGCTCAACCATTCCTTCCACCTCAGCCTCCGAAAGTGCTGGGATTACAGGCATAAGCCACCACGCCCAGCCTAAAACAAGTTTTATTTTCATAAGGAGAGCCAAGGTTACCTGGTCATCCAGACATTATTTAGAGGACTCCTTTTTGTTCAGTGGTGGGCCTCTCCTGTAGAGTAGCAACATGGGGAGCATTGGTTGACTTTAAGGAGTCAGGCAGCAAGACTTTCAGGGTTTGTGAAGTGTAATAAATATTTTGAGAAAGTGAGTGTATTTAATCTTGTCATGTTGCAAATATTGGAATCTCAGCAGACTTCAGTTCTTTATTTGATATAGTTCTAGGCTTTCTCATTAAGAGTATTTTTCTGAAATTATCAGTTATAGGAAGAAAGTTATTCTTCCACCAAGTTAATAATATCTTGATTATTAAATTTAAATTGTTTTAGTGGAAGGAGGCAAAACCGGAAGACCTTATGGATTCAAAACTTAGATGTGTGTTTGAATTGCCAGCAGAGAATGATAAACCAGTAAGTATGTTTATAGTTAACAATAATTGAATGTTGTAAGCTGATACTTATTTGCATACCATTTGCTGCAAAACCAAGATTTAAGTTGGCAAATTATTTTCCTTTATCTGATGTCTGAAGAAAAAAATAAGCTGAGGTCAGCAAATAAGTGGGCCTTTATGAAATCAGCCTTTGAAAAACTCAGGGAAAGACAACTGATTCAAACAGTGTTTCACCTTGAAAAGTGCAGCCCGATGGCCGTTGAGATGTCATAAATCCTAAGAGCTTCTATGACCTGGCGAAGGTATAGGTTGCTGTTAAACAGTGGGTGAGTGTAAAACAGGGAATAATTTGCCCTTTATCATGGTGCTTGATGGAAGGGTGGGAAGCTTTCAGGTTCTCTTGTTTTACAAAGTGCCCTGTCAGCCTCCCTACCCCTTTTACCCTATCTATCTCCTTAGTCAGAGGCTGCTTTTAGATGAGGATTTCTCAACTTCAGCATTGTTGATATTTGGGATGGATAGTTCTTGGTGGTGGAGGTTGCCCTGTGTACTGTAGGTTCTTCTATTGATAGCAGCATCCCTGGCTTCTGCCCTCTTGATACTGGTAGTACTCCCCAGTTGTGACAACTAAATATGTCTCCAGATATTGCCACATGTGTCCTGGAGGGCAGTATCAACCCCCCCCGAGAGTGATATCATTCTGGTGTTGCCTGCGGGGAGAAGGAAGGAGCCCCATCCTCTAGGCTGTCCGCTTTCACCCTTGATGGTCCTCACTTGTGACCAGTTGAAGAAAGGGGACTGTATCTGAAATACTAATTTGGACTTCCCTTCAACCTAGTCGAAAACATTTTAATTGTTATAAAAACACCAAAACTGTGAAAACATGCAGCATATGAAACTATCTTAGCTGTTGATAGCTGGAGTTGGGAAATAGAAATGCCCTGAAATGTTCTATTAACAGTATCTATGCTGGTCTGTGGGAATGCTGTTGATTTGTGTCAAAACTACCTGATATTTTATTTCTGCTGAATCATTTACCACTATTTTTACTGTGTTTCTTTAAGTGGATAGTGGTCTTTTTTTCCCTCTTCCCAGTGTACGTCCTGTCACAGGAAGGTCAGTTTGCAAGTTGTGAAACCTGTATTCTGGCCTCAGCTCTGTGATAGGTTGACTTGGTAGCCTGGGACCTTGCTTCACAGGGCCTACTCTTCTCATCTGGAAAATGGTGGGGAGAGCTAGATTCCTGGTTTTCAGTTTGCTACCCAGGTCAATGATCGTCACTTTTCCCTGACAAGCTGCGTGTTTCCATGCCCTCCCTCCACTGACTGGCTGTCATCCCCAGTAAATCTCAAGAGGGGATCATAGCTCAATCTTGGCAGGGGAAATGAGGGGAGTATGTAACTTCCCAAGATTGAAACATTGCAGACCCTGAGCTTGTTTCACTTTCATCCCAGCTTCCAAATGCTAAGTTGGTAAAATAATTCGCCCTCTGTCTACTGCTCTCCCAAGCTTCCTACTCCACCGAGACAATCCTAGGGATGTTCACATCTTTGTGGTGACAGTAATTTGTGGCTAATAATTCCTGAGTTTGCACAATTACAGTATGCTGATTTTTGCATGGCAGGAATTTGATAGTGCAATATACACAGCCCTTTTTCTCTTTCTCTGAAGTATTAGTCTCAGCTAAACTTCATTATTTACCCTTATCCATAATTTCTAGGGCCTGGTTGCTTTAGATTATTAAGATACCAAATAAAATGATCCATTTTAAAAATAAATGTGACATTTTACAGTGTGGATGAAATGCTACCACGTTTGGTGTTTGCTGAGAACTACTTTACTTTGCATAAAAAAGTCCTTTATTACATGGTTGGTGACACTTAGGCTTTCATTTGTTTTTGAACAGCATGATGTAGAAATAAATAAAATTATATCCACAACTGCATCAAAGACAGAAACACCAATAGTGTCTAAGTCTCTGAGTTCTTCTTTGGATGACACTGAAGTTAAGAAGGTTATGGAAGAATGTAAGAGGCTGCAAGGTGAAGTTCAGAGGCTACGGGAGGAGAACAAGCAGTTCAAGGTAATAGTTTATTTTCTGGTAATCTACAGAGAACAAGGGCATTTTCACTAGCTTCTTGGGTGGGGAAGTTGATGAGCCAGTGAATGTATAGATTTCTTTTGCTTTTGGTATTTGGCTGTTTTTTTCTCCCCAGGGAGAAATTTCCATGGCTTTCATCAGATTCTCAAAAGGGTCCTTGGATCTGTCTAAATTAAGAACCACTGTCCCTTGATCAGAAGTTTCTCAACTGTTTAAGCTCTTGTCCCCTTGGAAAAAAAAGAAAAACCTCGGCGGGGCACGGTGGCTCACGCCTGTAATCCCAGCACTTTGGGAGGCCAAGGCGGGCCAATCACAAGGTCAAGCGTTGAAGACCAGCCGGGCCAACACAGTGAAACCCCGTGTCTAATAAAAAATTAAAAAAAAAATTAGTTGGGTGTGGTGGTGGGCGCCTGTAATCCCAGCCACTCAGGAGGCTGTGAGGCAGGAGAATCGCTTGAACCCAGGAGGCGCAAGTTACAGTGAGCTGAGATTGTGCCACTGCACTCCAGCCTGGGTGACAGATCTAGACTCCATCTCACAAACAAAACAAACAAAACCCCCCAAAATTCACACTTTACATTAGTGTAAATTGAAAATAAATGTTGAGACCAAAATAGCAGTTTTTATTTTGAATATGCATTTTTAAACCCCACGCCATCCCCATTCCCTTGGGTGAGAATCTTTTTTTCAGAGGGTAAGTACTGACCAATACTCTGATTTAATGCAGGTATAGTTCTGATTTTAGAAGACTCTAAATAGGTCTGGGCAGTTTTGGCTCCTCAAACTGTTGATGTGGTGATGAGCTTGGAGGTGGGGTGCCTCACAGTGGTTAGGAGGTGGAGATTATGGAAAGAAAACCTGAGCCTCTAGCTCGTGGACGAGGCAGTTGGCATTGGCAATGGAAGGTTGTATTGTACTGAGTGGTGAAGGGGGGAGTCAGAGGGTGCTTCTTTTGGCTTGGAGGCTTGTGGTGGTGTGGAAGTTGCTCCCATCCAATATGAAACAGCTCTGAATCTGTGCTGGTCACAGCATCTTTTAGGCCTCTGTTTGCTAAACACCTCTAAGGCCCCTTCCAGCTTTAAAAGTATGAGTTTTCTTCTCTTTTACTCTTGACAATGAGGTAGATATAGGAGAACTGATAACATTTGGGAAATGGCATCATCTTCTTCCTTTGCAGTGATCTTGATTTGCCTCAGTCAGTAACTTCTTTAACGTGTAAGTAAATTGTGAAGCCGACACTATGTTTTGGCTAACAATCTAAGCTATGCCTGAAGCTTCTCCTCGAGTGTATTTCTCTTCTGAAACAGAGTTCTGTGCTGTTTAAAGTGGTAAATAGGTAGAAATAGCTTCTATATAACCCAATAAAATAAATGGTGTAGTTTGCTGTTTTTTTTTTAAGTCAGTCGGACACCACCAGTTGTTTATCACTGTGCAGTGATATTGCCATGCCCCATGAGCAAAATATCCTTAAAATATGATCAGACTAATCTCGACATTAGAAGATTCTTTATCCTGCCAGACGCTGCCTTCTTGTTTTGTGTTGGTTTATTCTGTCATCTGGCCAACAAATGAGGGTCTAATATGTGCCTGGCATTGTGGATTCAAACACAAACAGTCCCTGCCCTTGAGGAGCTCTCTGTTAATGGGATAGCAGGGAGAGACATACACAGAAATTATTATAAGCCAGTGTGATAAATGTCCCACAGAGATAGCAACAAATTGCAGGGAGAGTCAGCTCCGTGGGATTCATCTGCCTGTGGTCTCCAGGACCTACTAGGTACTCGGGTGGATGGGAGAGAATGGAAGGAAACGAAGAAAAGAAAGTACAGCTGGTGTGTGGGGTTTAGGGATGAGTAGATGAGGTAATTATCAAGAGATCTTTCAGCAAAGATGAGTCCGGGCCAGAATAGAATGGCTTGATGCATGTCCCTCTTCAGGGATGTGGGCTTGGCTTTGAGAGCATGGAAATGGCACCATAGATCTACATGGTAACTTGCAGATTCTTAGGAAAGTGCAAGGCAGTTGTGGCAGTGGAGGTGAAGGAAGAAAAAAATTTTCATTTCTTACATATCCATGTAGTTTGGGGACAAGGGGAGGGTGGGGGATATGGTCAAATATCTTTATATGTGTGAAAAAGAATGTTGCTTCTTCAGTGGGAAATCTATGCATTAAGTAGAAAATATTTGAGATGAGTGTACCAAGGCCAGTCACATTTTAATATTCCAAATATCATTTGATCCAGCAGTCTGGATGTAGTTCATCAGGTACCAGCTATGTACAGAGCTCTGCATTTGAAAGCTTCCAGATGTCCCACTTTTAGATTTTTTTTTTTTTTGATATGGAGTCTCACTCTGTCACCTCAAGCTAACTTTTGTATTTTTAGTAGAGATGAGGTTTCATCATGTTGACGAAGGTGGTCTCGAACTCCTGAGCTCAGGTGATCCACCCGCCTCAGCCTCCCAAAGTGTGGGGATTACAGGCATGAGCCACCATGTCCAGTTGACTTTATAGTTTCTTATGATTTGTATATTTATGTCTTGGGAAATGCCTCTCATTTTAAAAATTGATGATTTGATCAAGGAAGGCTATTCATTAGAGGCAGGACGGACAGAGAGGTTGGGGTTGAAGAGAAGCATCTGAAAGACATGGCCGTAAAGGTGGGTGGGGCTGAGGGTGCAAAGGGCCCAGTTGACCCTTTTAAGAACTTTTTTCTGTAAATCATGGGAAACCAAGGAGCACCCTGTTTAGATATCTGTTATAACTAGCAGCATCAAGTGGAATGTATGAAAGAAAAGAGGGGACTGTTTTCTCTGTGGCTTCAGGCTAGCCCTTTCCCCTCTGTAGCCTGCAGTTTCTCCATTTGCAAAATGAGGTTGGACCATATCATGTTGGCCAACACTGGGCATGAACAGCCCATCCGGTTAAGCTGTACGGTTGACTCCCCTTTCTGGTGCCTTGGCTTGTCTTTGAAATATGCATTTGCTCCCATAGGAAGAAGATGGACTGCGGATGAGGAAGACAGTGCAGAGCAACAGCCCTGTTTCAGCGCTAGCCCCAACTGGGAAGGAAGAAGGCCTTAGCACCCGGCTCTTGGCTCTGGTGGTTTTGTTCTTTATTGTTGGTGTAATTATTGGGAAGATTGCCTTGTAGAGGTAGCATGCACAGGATGGTAAATTGGATTGATGGATCCACCATATCATGGGATTTAAATTTATCATAACCATGTGTAAAAAGAAATTAATGTATGATGACATCTCACAGGTCTTGCCTTTAAATTACCCCTCCCTGCACACACATACACCGATACACACACACAAATATAATGTAACAATCTTTTAGAAAGTTAAAAATGTATAGTAACTGATTGGGGGGGGGAAGAATGATCTTTATTAATGACAAGGGAAACCATGAGTAATGCCACAATGGCATATTGTAAATGTCATTTTAAACATTGGTAGGCCTTGGTACATGATGCTGGATTACCTCTCTTAAAATGACACTCTTCCTCGCCTGTTGGTGCTGGCCCGTGGGGAACCGGAGCCCAGCGTGGTGGGGAGTGAGGTCATCTCCACACAGTAGTCCCCACGTGGCCCACTCCTGGCCTAGGCTGCTTTCCATGTCTTCAGTTCTGTCCAAGCCATCAGCTCCTTGGGACTGATGAACAGAGTCAGAAGCCCAAAGGAATTGCACTGTGGCAGCATCAGACGTACTCGTCATAAGTGAGAGGCGTGTGTTGACTGATTGACCCAGCGCTTTGGAAATAAATGGCAGTGCTTTGTTCTCTTAAAGGGACCAAGCTAAATTTTTATTGGTTCATGTAGTGAAGTTGAACTGTTATTCAGAGATGTTTAATGCATATTTAACTTATTTAATGTATTTCATCTCATGTTTTCTTATTGTCACAAGAGTACAGTTAATGCTGTGTGCTGCCAAACTCTGGTGGGTGAACTGGTATTGCTGCTGGAGGTCTGTGGGCTCCTCTGTCTCTGGAGAGTCTGGTCATGTGGAGGTGGGGTTTATTGGAATGTTGGAGAAGAGCTGTCAGGAAGTGTTTTTCTGGGTCAGTAAATAACAACTGTCATAGGGAGGGAAGTTCTCTGTAGTGACAGTCAACTCTAGGTTACCTTTTTAAATGAAGAGTAGTCAGTATTCTAGATTGTTCTTATACCACCTCTCAACCATTACTCATACTTCTAGCACCCAGGCCCAAGTCTGAGCCTAACCTCTCCTTGGGGACCTAGCTTGGAGTCAGGACGAATGGATCGGGGTGCAGAAGGTTAGAATCGAGGGCACCAGCAGTTGGGGGTGGGGAGCAGTGGGGGAGAGAGACTCTTCAGCTAATCCTTCTAGTACTAGTTGAGAGTTTGACTGTGAATTAATTTTATGCCATAAAAGACCAATCCAGTTCTGTTTGACTATGTAGCATCTTGAAAAGAAAAATTATAATAAAGCCCCAAAATTAAGAATTCTTTTGTCATTTTGTCACATTTGCTTTATGGGGGGAATTTTTTATCATTTTTATTATTTTGCCATTGGAAGGTTGACTTTAAAATGAGCTCCATCACTGGGAAATATGTGTTTCATGATTTAAATGTACGTGTGTGTGTGTGTGTGTGTGTGTGTGTATATATATATATATTTTTTTGGTTGTCTTCAGCTGACAGTATGAAAAATAAAACTGCTGAAAAAGCTGAGCACCTGGTCACCCTTGGCCTTCCATTGCTTTGGCCTTCAGTAAAAAGCAGCCTCGCTTCTAGGTCAGGGAACCATGCCATTGAGACTAATAACAGGCGTTCTGGGCACAGTCCCACTGTGCACAGGTTTGAGAGGACAGGTTCATCAGAAGGAAGGCAGTCCTTAGAAGTCACATACGTCAAGCCACATTGCTCCTAAGCCTGGCTGTGTTAAGCTGGGTCAGGGGCCTTGAAACGGGAGAAGTGGAAGTCTGTGGTTGGTCTGAGTAAGGAACTTCCTGTCTTCATGAAAAAAGTTGACTTTGAATCCCAGGTACTCACAGAAATGGTGAGCAGACTTAGTTGTTACCCAGGCACCCATGGATTGCGTTGAGTGTGCAGACAGGGAGGTCACCCCAATATGAATTTGTCTCCAGGTTTTTTCCCACGTGGCCCCCAGTACTTATAAAAGGAAGTGAAAAGACCGAACTGTAAGGCACATGCCTTCTGCTGCCTGATTTTCCGTGAGGAGAATAAAATTTGCTAATTGTAGGTGCTGCAGCCGGTTAAGTCCTTCTGTAGCTTCCAGGCCCTCATGTCCTTGCCCTCATGGAGAGTGCTTAGATGGTCTGCAACATACCTAGGGGTACAGTACAGTCCCATTACACTAGAGCAGGGCTCTCTTTGTTTTTAAAGGATATGGCCGTGTGTTTTGATAAAACTTTATTCACAAAAACAGCCAGGTCATGGGATTTGGCCTTTGAGTCTGTGGCAGTTCTTAAAAAGAATATTGAGAAACTACTCTGTTTTAGACCTTTGAATGTGATTTAGAGTTTTGTGTACATCTAGGAAAAGGTGTTCAGCTTCTCAGAGGATGTGGACATTTTGGTTGCGGCTAAAAATCAGCCTCTGAAGTCTCTCTCCCTTCTAGAGGTTAGCACTTGTTGAACACGTTTGTGGGGTTTTTGGCTGAGTGGCAGAAGGAAAATCCTCAGGAAGAGAAGCAGGTGAGTGATGAGAAGGTTGGTTATTTTCTCAGTCATCCTGGCAGCCAAAAATGTGCCAGGAAAAGAAGGCGTGGCTCCTGGAGAACTTGGAGATGCATGCACATTTAGGGTGTCTTTCCTAGAATTACATAATGAAAACAAGAGTAAGGCAAAGAGGAGGTGAATATGGGGCCTGTCACAACGGCCTGCCCTGCCCCAAGAGGTTAAGAGTCGGATAATCGGGATGAAACTGGCATGGAAAGAGCGAGGCTGAGGAGGGTGCCGCCGGGCAGTGTGCATGGGGGAGCTGCTACCAGACTGCCCTCCAATCTGCTCCTGTGTTACTGGCTCCACAGCACCTCAGAGAGGGCAGCCTTGGCTTCAGAAATGCCAGTCATAGTGCTCACAAATGCAGAAGAGATGGAAGCGGTGACAGAATCCTGAAAGTTTTTATTGATTGACGTTTTAAATTGGTAATTTAAGCTTCCTTGGCACGATACAAAATACCTCTTAAAGACAGCAGGCTGTTTTATTTGTAGGTGTGAGGAACTGGCTTCAACTTTTTTCTCCTCCTAGTTTGCATGTTTTCCCCTCTCTAGTCTTCTAAACTGCTGGCACCAGCAGTAATACATACTGATAAAATCAAAATTGATTTTTACCAGTGGCCAGTTTATGGCTAGAGAGACGGCTTATACCTCCTTAACACAGAAGGGGGAAAAATGAAGAACCTTCAATGATCCGTGAAAACCTAAATGCTTTCAAACAAATCCTAGGGACAGAATTGCTATCGAAAGATATCAGTGCCCGACTTGCAGGCTGTGTTGAGTCAGATAGAACTGAATGTAGTGAGAACTCAGAGCTAAAGAGCCTTTCAGATTAATTTGAAACCAGGCTGTGTGTGTGCATGCATGTGTGCATGTGTAGTATATGTGCCATGTGTCTTTGGCTTGACAGTTTTCAAATCGTGCCTTTATTTTTTGCCTACACAAAGTTTTGTATTTGCAAACTCAGAATCCATGCCAAAATACCATGTCATTTGTCATTTTTAGCTCCTTCTCTAAAGGAATGGCCCATTTCTCATTGTAGTTTGAGAAATATGTGTATCAAGAGAGAGGGGTCTTGGGCTTCCCAGTGTCACTGTGAACACCTGAATAACATTTAACCCCTGAGACCTTCTCGCTGTAGAGGCCAGTGCTTCCCCCTGCTGGACATGACATTTCATTGAAGGACCTCTCGTGGCTTCCCCTGCCCTGGGCTGTCTGGCCTGAAGGAGAAAAGAACCAAACTAAACTATGAAAAGTTACCACTCTGAGACCTCTCTTAATTAAGCTTGGGGCCATGTTTGCTTTTGAGAAGGAGTGTTCTCAAAGATAGGCTGGAATGGAATTGTATTTAGAAAGGTCCCTGCAAAGTATAGATGGATGACTCTAGTTCATGACACACAAATCCCATAAGGCCAACGACCACTCTTCTGGAACACCAAGAGCAGCTCTGAGATCATGCATGCCCTACGCGAATTGAGTTTCTGTGACCTAATTGGATTTGGAGAACGCCTTCCCTGCCCCCCCTTTTCCTCAGACAGATCTGCTCTGATAGGAACCTTTTCAAGCAAGTTACTGTTGTTTCAATGCCATTCCTTACCTGTATAGAACATTTCCAGTACATTCGCTCATTGAACTTAATCCTTGCAACTGTACTGGGGGGTGGGTGGCTCTGTTTGCATATGAAGAAATAAAGGCTCCAGGAGGTTAAATTGGGCAACTTTTTAGAACTAAATCAGTCTCTGTAAGGCCTGCATTGCTAAGATACCATTTCAGCTCTGAAAATCTGCTTCAGGGAACTGAGTGGATGAAGCCTTCCTCCTTCAGCTACTCTGCCCGTCTGTACATCTTTTATGTGTCTGCCTCCATACCTGTTATTTTCACACTAAAGTAAGTAGAATTAAGACTGTAGTTCACATGCTTTTTCTTTTTCTGTTGGAAACTGAACACACTCTAGACAGTGAAAGAAAGTGCATATTCCATTTTCTCATTGCCTGAAGATCTCTGCCCGATGCTCCTGGGGAATGACTTTGGGGGCTTTAGAAAGAATATTACCAGTCTGTCTCGGCAAGGAGATGATGGGAACGCTTTGTATGGAGGCTTTACATGACTTGTAAATTAAATGTGAATGAGGGCAGTTCATTAAAATTGGTATTACAGAAGTGCCCTGCCGAGGTTTGAAAACAGCTGAGCTGCCGATGTCTCAGGCCTCTCCCTGAATTAGCACTGCGTTTCTCCAGGAAATCAGCTAAGGGAGCAAGTAATAGAAGCCCCTGATAAGGAGCATCAGCCGAGAGGCAAGCTTGGGAGGCTGTGGGAATGGGTCTGCTACCAGCTTCACAGACCTCTTCCTCCAGCCTCTGAATCCCGTTAGGCACAACGTTAGCACATGAGGCTCAGCCACCAAGAACATTAGCTGGGGTGCACGAGCTCGCCCACTCCTGTGCCGAGGGACCCTGACCTCCCTCCATGCCATGTTTTTAGCTGTGTCTATGGCACTTAACAATAGGGGGCTTCATTTTATTTAAGTTACAGAGAAGTATTTTGAAAAATTTAAAAGACATGAACTCACATAAACAGTTATGGATAATAGTTAAAAGGGAAACCGGTGGAGGTGGATGAGAGGTTGTCTTCATGAATATAATTGAGATTTCTTTTTCTTAATGGAATTAATTTGTTAGAAAATGTCTGCGTTAAATCTGTAGAAAAAGAAGAAAAGTGTAGGCCGGGCGCGGTGGCTCACGCCTGTAATCCCAGCACTTTGGGAGGCTGAGGCAGGCGGATCATGAGGTCAGGAGATCGTGACCATCCTGGCTAACATGGTGAAACCCCGTCTCTACTAAAAAAAAAAAATTCAAAAAAATTAGCCGGGCGTGGTGGCGGGTGCCTGTAGTCCCAGCTACTCGGGAGGCTGAGGCAGGAAAATGGCGTGAACACAGGTGGTGGAGCTTGCAGTGAACCGAGATCGCGCCACTGCACTCCAGCCTGGGCGACAGAGCAAGACTCCGTCTCAAAAAAAAAAAAGGAAGAAAAGTATAGCAACAAAAATGTAGCTATTATCTAACTTGCCATAAATATTTGCAATTATGATACCTTGGAATGTTGCCACGATATGGATTGCTTTGATTAAAAGATGTCAGTTGAATAAAACAGTACTATGGGAGAATCGCTTTCTGCTGCTAGATAAATGCTGATGTTTATTTTTAAACCAGGAAACATTGATCCTGTAACAATGCCCGATTACAACTGCTTTATTACACCCCAGGGCTGATGGAGAGGTAATCACTTGGCTAATGGATGTGGGTGCAGGACGGATGCTCACTTGCTGGCCTGCTTTCCTGCTGGCATTCTGATGAGCCGCAGGAGCCCACCTGGGCTTCTGCAGGTGGAGCTTCTGTCAGAGCTTCGTTTCAGTGATACCCAAAGCCATGTCTGACTGAAATAAAACAGGTTCCCTTTTTTTCCCCTTTGGAAAATGCCGACTAAGGGAGACTAATCAGATATCTTAACACAATTTCATCCAGGCTTAGTGCTAACAAGATTGCGGGGCTTTTTAGGGTTTAAGATGATGAGAAATTAGTGTGCGCGTTTCACACGTTGACTTGCTGGTGTTTCCATGTCATACAAAAAAGTCTGGCTGTGTCTCCGAACTGGCTGCCTGCATTCCCATCTTTCTTTTGTTTTTACGAAATAGACTGAATTCAGCTGTTAATCCTCTCGTGCAGCATCCATGTTAAAGTGTTTTTCCATTGCATCTTTTGTGTGAATTCAAAGGTCAGAATTTATTGTCTGTGATACTGAGACCATGTGTACAAGAACTACTTTTTGCTTTTCATCATTCACTCCTTAGCAAACGTTTCATAAGTACCGTCTGTCTGGCTGCTACTATATGAGGTGCTGAGAAATTAGTCAGGGGGAGTGACTTTTTATATTTTTCATTCGTATGTAGCCTAAGTAAGGTGATTCAAGCTTATACACTGACAGAAAAATGCAAAATATATTTGGTTCTCATTTCTGTTGCTGTCGTTTCCTTTTTAAAGACTATTTATAAACTGCTGCCATTTGGAACTTCTATAAGAAACTAAAAGTGATCTATTTCAGTGTTCCCTTCACCTTTCCTCTCCTTTTTGAATAAATGGTTTCAGTAACCCATGCTGTTCTCTCCCTATTCTACGTCTTTTTCCCTATGTTGAAAAAAGATTCCTGCAGTTTCTAATGTGTTTATTGTCTTCGATGTATGTTAACATTTTAGAAACTGAGTATCTTAAGAGATGTCTTAGAATGCTTTAGTTTTCATAATTTTTCCTTTCTGTAGTTTTCATTGTATTTGCTGTTTTGACATGGAAGTCATTTAAAAAGTTGGTGCAGGAAAGGACTCTTTACCATTGCACATTTTGGTTATCTGATATGTAATAAACCCATGGCTTGGCAGCTGACATGATGTTTCCCAGAGAGAAGGAGATGTATTTCTGCAGGGTCCAGACCGAAAGAGCCATTAACAGCATGTTCTCCCATGTTCCATATCAACCTGATGAAACCTGCCCTGCCAAGGCATAAACTTTTGTATTAGCTGTCTCCATATTATGTTCAATAAATTCTGTGCTCTGAATATATTTAAAGGATGCTTCAGTGTAAAATTATTTTGAATGGATGGCTTCATTCCATTGAGATAGGCTTTGGAGTGTGGACTAGAGCCCGTTGCTTGACTCTCACTGCTTCGTAGGAACATGAAATTGGTTTAAATTAAAATCAGAGATACCTTGCACCAGAAAACAGATCTAAGAGATCGCTTAGGTCAACGTCCTCTTTTTACTGATGAGGAAACTTTTGCCCAGAGAGCTTAAGCACAGGGACCAGCTTGCACGCCAGTGTTTTCCTGTTGTGGGAACTGTGTGTCATCATTGATTTACAAAAGTACCCATCTGTGTAAATTGCTTCCAGCTTTGAAAGGTGGGTGGATTCTGTCTTTTAAGTAGTGGTTGACGGTTCTCCATCTTACAGTGTTACCTTGTTAAAACATTAATGAAAACCATTTCAACTTCTTTTGGAAAAGGAAGGTAGGCAAATGGTAAGACTTCATATAAGACCAAAGGGTACACAGTATACAAAGTCAGGTTTCCTCCATTCCCAAACCTTTCTCCAGAGATATCCTGAACTTTCCATGTATTGACTCTTTCCAGAGATCTGTGCACATATATGTCTGTGTGTATCCAGCCTTGTGTTTCCTTTTTGTTTTGAGACAGGGTCTCACTCTGTCACTCAGGCTGGAGTGCAGTGGTGTGACCCCCACAGCTCACTGTAGCCTCCACCTCCCAGCCTCAAGCAGTCCTCCCACCCTGGCCTCCTGAGTATCTGGGATCATAGGCACGCACAAGCATGCCTGGCTGTCTTTTTTATGTTTTTGTAGATATGAGGTCTCTCTGTGTTGCCCAAGCTTGTCTCAAACTCCTGGGCTCAAGCCATCCTCCTGTCAGCCTTCTAGAGTGCTGGGATTACAGGCGTGAGCCACTGCACCTGACCAACTGTGTGTTTTCTAATACACAGGCAACAGCACACACTAACTGCTCTGTTGTGCATGTTCCTTTTTTGACTTTGAAGTTTATCTTGGAGATCATTTCATGCTAGCCCACACCATTCTTTATGGCTCTATAATTTTCCTCTGTATGGATGTGCCCTTAATTTACTTAATCAGCCCTCTATTGAGCTGCATTTAAGCAGTTTCTCGTCTCGGTGCTAAAGACAACGTTACAACAAATACTCCTACAAATGAGCAAGAATATCACAGAATCAATTCCTAGAGGAGCAATGGTTGGGTCAAAGGAAGCCTGCATTTTAAATCGTGTTAGATGCCTTCAACATTGCATCCAAAGAGGACATACCAGTTCATAGTCCTCGCAGGGTCTGCTGCTTTACTCTTTGCCAGCACCTTGTGCCATCTTAACTTTTTGATCTTTGCTCACCTGTAACATGCACGTGGTATCTTACCTTGAGTTTGTGGTTCTTGGGTTGAGCAGTTGTTTATGTACGTAAAGGCCATTTGAAAACACACATGAGGACCCAGAGTGAAGTAAGGTCAAAGGGAATAAAGGCTTATCACACAAAGGGCTGACGGCAGATCAGCAGAAATGAAGAGGCTAAGGGCACACAGTCATGAATGTGGAAATTGGAATCTACCTTGTTTTACTAACAGGAAAAGAACTTGCAGCAAAGTGTATCGAAGTGGATTGGGCAGGGGGAAATAACCCTTCATGGCAACTGCTAGAGCTCTGATTCTTGACCTGTACTAGCCACCTCACTTGCTCTCATCTGGCTGCATTCATGTCATTCTTGCATCCCTGGGGTCCTTTTAACCATGGCCTTCACAGAGGGTGTAGGGGAGGCAAATATTAGCATCCCAGATCAAAGAGAGCTTCTGTAAGAGAGACTGATAAATGGTGGTGGTCGTTAAAGAGTTAAAACCCGAAGTGTTGGCCGGACGCGGTGGCTCAAGCCCGTAATCCCAGCACTTTGGGAGGCCGAGACGGGCGGATCACGCGCTCAGGAGGTCGAGACCATCCTGGCTAACACGGGCGAGGTGGCAGGTGTCTGTAGTCCCAGCTACTCGGGAGGCTGAGGCTGGAGAATGGCATAAACCCGGGAGGCGGAGCTTGCAGTGAGCTGAGATCCAACCACTGCACTCCAGCCTGGACGACAGAGCGAAACTCCGCCTCAAAAAAACAAAAACAAAAACAAAAACCGAAGCATTAAAACCCGAACTGTGAAGGAGTTTTCTAAACAGCAACACGAGGAGCTATTTTGAAGAAGTGACCACACTGATTTGCCATTGTCTCTGGTTAGTGCATTAGAAGACAAAACCTGCTACCTGATAATTTTCCAAGGAGTAATGGGAGTGACATGCCCCGTTAGAAACTGAAAATACTCTCAGAAATTGCACTTAAGAGTCTAGGGTTTTCTTTTTTTCCAGGTAGAACTTTGGCCTCTGTTTTCTTAGCAATGTTTGACTGCTAAAATCACTTCAAAGAAGAAAATGGTACGAATTTGGAGAAACACAAAATTAGTGTTACGGACTTTCTGAAAAAATGTTACCTTTATGCCACTTCAAAAAATGTTAAAGAAATGTGTAGGGAAGACAAGAAGCTTTTGAAGTCAAGCCAAGACCTGCTGTTATATTTTAACCCCACCATGCAGTCACATTGTTGGCCCTAAAAGTGCCTCCACACTAAAGAAAATATTCTCCATTAGTAATGAGAAAACCACCCTAGAATATTCCAGCTGATATGTGAGGAAGGGCTGGCGGGCCACGGCTAGGACCCTGTCATGGTCCCACTTTTCCTCCTGTTTCCCAGAAGCTCAGACTCCCGAATGCTCTGTTCTCCCGTGAGTGGGCCTGGCTGCCCCGCTCAGCCCTCTGTGCTCCACCACTCTCGCCTCCCAGAGCACTCGAAACCTCTCTCAACAGAGTCTGCCCTTTACTGGATTGAAAGCAATTTGAGGGGAAGTTCAAGGTTTTTGTTGTTGTTGGGTTTGGTTTTGTGGTGGTCTCTTTTTTTTTTTTTTAATACCAAAGTATTTTGTGTGCAGAATATAAAAAGCCAAACAGCTGTAACAGGCCTGTAGTGAAAAGCAGCAGGCCCGTGTTGCCCTGGGCTGCCTCTTCCCAGAGGTTGCCAGTTGAGCACATTGAACTATTTCTTCTGATATTAACATCTACATTTCCTAATAATGTGGTTATATTACTTTTTCTTGATTTTTCACTTCTATATATTATCTGTTGATTTCCTCCTAAGGAAGAGAGGGATTTAGCTCTAATAATCTTTCTCCCAACCACATCCCAAGCATAGATTTCCTTCTCTCTCCCTCTCAGTCACGTTATAAGTTTTGGCTACATCAGTATACTTTTGCATGATTAAGACTACTGAAGGCCGGGCGCGGTGGCTCAAGCCTGTAATCCCAGCACTTTGGGAGGCCGAGACGGGTGGATCATGAGGTCAGGAGATCGAGACCATCCTGGCTAACACGGTGAAACCCCGTCTCTACTAAAAAATACAAAAAACCAGCTGGGCGAGGTGGAGGGCCCCTGTAGTCCCAGCTACTCGGGAGGCTGAGGCAGGAGAATGGCGTGAACCTGGGAGGCGGAGCTTGCAGTGAGCTGAGATCCGGCCACTGCACTCCAGCCTGGGCGACAGAGCGAGACTCCGTCTCAAAAAAAAAAAAAAAAAAAAAAAGACTACTGAGATATTGTTTACAGCTGTACCTTGGATGTGCTATGCTTCTATTTCCCTTTTATGTGTAATCCTTTGTTTTGCCGGAGTTACTAAATCTTAGTGTTTTGTTTGCTTAGCTTCCAATGTATCTGTCACCTATTCAGCCCAGACCCTGATAGAAGTGCAAATCTCCTCAGCACAATCACAACACCTCAGGCAATCTGATTTTTCTGGTTTTCTTAGATCACTCCTGGAGCTGTCTGTTCTCCTGCTCCCCTCTGGACTGACTGCTATCTAAGCCTACTGCACAGCTCTCATTCCAGGGCCTTCACTCACTCTCATCTTCAGAACTCCTTTTGCACTCTTCTGGATTGGATCCCTTCTTTTCTGGATTTCTAGCTTCCTCTCTTTTGTTCTAGTACCTCATTTTGGGGAGCACATCATTTAGCAGGTCTCTGAGCAAGGAGTATGTGGGACATAATTTTGTTGAGAACTTTACATGTCTGAAAATGTCCCATTCTGCTCTCCCACTTGACTGATAGTTGTACGGGGTATAAAACACAAGGTTTAAATCATTTTGAGGATTTTGGAAGCATTGTTCCACCGATTTCCAGCTTCTAGTGTTGCCTTTAAGAAATCAAGTGCCATTCTAATTCCTGATTCTTTTTTTATTTCTGGGAATATTCTTCAACTTTAATTTCCAACCTTTTTATTTTTTTCTGCTAACATATTTATAATTTTCAAGACATCTTTCTTTTCCAGTTATTCTTTGTTACAGCAACCTGCTGCAAGATGTATATATATATTTTTTTCACTGAGGATATTATAGCCGTTTATTGCTTTGTTCTTTTTTGTTGTTGTTCTGTATTTTTTGTATGTTGTTCCACTGGAGACCAGAAGTGTTTTGTAATTCAGATTTTTTTGGATTTTCAGATATTTACATTATACTTCCCAGTTAAACATTCCTAATTTGAAAATCCAAAATTCAAAATGCTTCAATGAGCATTTCCTTTGAGCATTGTGTCACCACTCAAAAAAGGTTGTGGATTTTGGAGCATTTTGGATCTTGAATTTTCGTACTGGGGATACTTAACCTGTATCTAAATTTTTAGCATGGTACTCTACCCTGGGCTGTTGCTAAGTCCAAAGATTTTCGGGTTAAACTTTTGGTTTCTTACAGTGGTTAGGGATGGGATCTAGGAGTAGAATTCCTTTTACAGACTTTGTAAAACATTTCAAAGATTCCTCCTGTTTTTAGCCCTACTGTTCTGTTGGTTTCTGCCATGCCTACGGCCACCATTTCCTAAGCCTTCGGGGGGATTCATGGCACAAGTGGACTTGCTTCTGAGCTGCGCCCCTCGACCAACCTGCTTTCCACCTTCTGTAATCTCCCGCCAGTGATAAATTACCCATCA